ACATCAGTGATATGCATAGTGAACATATCGCAGTGATATTTTGGTTTGCTTAGTTAATTGACAAATAAATCTGCTGCTCTATATTTACGTTTGTCAATAAAGGATGTCAAATAGGCTTTTGAAATAAGATATCGGCATACAACTAGGTTTCTGTAAATTAATTTTTGGATTGATAGCAACATTGAGTCAGTTGCCCTTTGCTTTAGTATCAAATCATTGCATCACTTGATTGTCCAAAATCCTGATATTGTTGGCCACATGTTTGTAAAGGGCCACATATTTGCCAAAGCCATAATATTCTTTACAACTGAGTGAAACCTTGGGCTGAAAAAATTTGTTTATGATGATACCATGGACTGTGAGCTTGTTGATTGTATACCAGTGTGTCAAGATCTTGAATTCTCTTAGGAAGATCTTATATTCAAATCAGATGTCGGTTTCCATGATTTATTTGTCTTGAAGTTGCCGATTTCGAATTGGTTGGCTTTAAAAATGCAGATTTGGCTTTTGCCTTTACTTCGGGCCAGACATTGTCCTCATGGTGTATCAATAGACAACCACTATTCATTCTCGTCCATGGAAGAGAGGTATCAAGGATTAACCTTCAACATTGCAGGATGTAAATAGTTGGTAAGATGCTTTGAGATTTAGAAACTAATAGCAATATGTGCTATCTGGTATGCCTCCCATCGTATTTTTGAGATTGGAAAGTGGTCATACCCAGTCAACTACGTCTTCTGAAGTAACTTAGTATCTTTATCTCCAGATTTTTGATTTGATGTGACAAGAAACTTTGAAAATCTGCTGTTGCCATTTTCTGTATATGTTCATCTAGTTATATCATCTTTAATAAGACACATTGAATATTATTACTTTCATTTAAGTTATCTGAATTGCTCAGGTGGACTTTGGATTAACCTTTTTTCCTTTTTTTTCTTTTTTTTTCCTTTCCCTCCAAATGCCTTTTTAATGTTTTCATGAATTTCCTCATACATCTTTGGCTGCTTTCACTTTTGTAAGATGATAGCATGCTTTAGGTTGTTTGTTATTATCTATCGATGCTTTTCTTTTGGGGGTAATGTTCAGTTGCAGTTGATTATGGAATAGAAAATAATCTGTGTAAGCTGAAATACTGGATGAGGTTTCGTGAAAGTGGGATAATTACTTAAAATGAATGCAATCTCCAGTGTACCATGTAGTGGCATTCTTGGGGATCAGCAATAAAATAGTATTGTTAAACAGAAAGGCAAAACATATTCTGAAACTTCAATGTACTTACCACATAGAAAAAGAGATGTCTAGTTACAAATTCTGAAGAATTTGGCCAACGGTTATGTTGTAATTCTGTGGATTGCACATACTTCTGAAATTTTATTTTGCTTTCTAGCTTTTTCTTATGGCATCTATGTCCTAATTCTATTTGAAATAAGCATGACTTGAATGTTTTCACTTGCAATCTTTGAGTATGCCCTGCATAATCCTAGATGATAATTTATTTGCTTTTCGAGCTTTCAGATTGTATTTTATTTGTTTTATGGATTTTACTGTCAATTTGATACTCTTTTTTAATTTATTACAATTTTTTCTTTCTATTGATTTATAAATGAAAGGCAAGTCTATTCACCTAGCATTTTAAGTGCTTTTCACGACATTCTAGTAAATGATGCTTTGGTTTCTTCAATTTTTTTTCCCAACTTTTTTTTGTTCAGACCATATGGCAATCGCCTCTCTCTAGTGGATATAACCAGCAGGCTTTTCATCCTCGTGGATCTGTTGCTTCACAATGGGGACCTCGTGGGCCCCATCAGGCACAGTTCTCAGCTTATGATTATCTGCAAAGAGGACCAAATCCTTCTCAGAATTCTTTATATCCACCTCAAGCATATGGTCAGTATCCTCCACAACAGGCACCACGAAACAGCTATGGTCCAAGCTGGGAGCAAAGGCCACCAGCTACAATGCAGGGGCCCTCACCTCAGGTTGGCAGTTTAGTTATTATTTCATTTGTACGTCTGCCAGATATTCATACTAATGTTTTGAGGTCCGTGTTCTGGCACATTTCATTAACAGATCAACTATGGACAGCCAACTCCTTACTCTCAAACACCTGCACAACACTTTGGTCTTCCTGGGTACAGTGAAGTGAAATATGATGACTATGTGTCCTCACAACAGTTTGGGAACACGGGTTCTCAGCCAACAGCTTATGCTCAAAGTGGTACATATTCAGGGTATGGTTCACAGGACCAATATGGTAAGCCACCAATGTATGATGTGCAGCCACAGGTACACCATTCTCAATCTTATGGTCAGCCTAGGCCTAACCAACTCGGAGAAGTTTCCTATCAAGGTCCTGCTGCGCCATCTCAAGCATATGGTCAAACTGTGCCACCTCAACAGCCATATCCATATGTGTCAACTGGACCGGTGCAGCATAGCTATGCTCCATATGGTTCTGTACCTCCTGCTGATGGATACAGTCATCCACCATCTACCACAGCATCTGGTTCTGGTTATCCTGTGCAAGGTGGTCAACCTGTTGCTGGGTATGGTCAGCCTGGTGGACAACAGACTCCTGCATATATACAGGCTGGACCTACTGGAGGTTATGGTTCTTATCCATCTACTCAGCCTGGCCACAATGAACAACCAGCAGCAAATACCACAGCTTACGGTTATCAAGGGCAGATAGATCCTGCATATGGTAGTGCCCAGGGTCCTGCAGGTTATGGTGCACCTGCCACTGGACAGTCGGTTTATACACAACCAGCACCAGCTCAAGCTGGGTATAACGTACCACAGTCGGGAGGTTATCAGTAGTATGGTTATGAGAAAAATGTCGCCCCAACTTTCATCTGCACTTTGATTTTAATCTGATGTATGCTTCCGCATAGTTGAGTCTGGACTTGAATAGTTCTATTATTAACGGACTTTGATGTTAGATCTATACTGCCTGTACCTTGTAAACATCTTGTGATGCTATTTTAGATTTGAAGGTTATCAGTTGGATTTTATACCGTGGGTTTTAAATGTTCTTGTTTTTACTCAATATGTTAAGCCCTTGTTTGAGCCCTTCATCAAAATGCATTCTTGAGTAGTGGTGTGATCTTATTTCAATAATACATTTTTTAATAAAATAATATAGAATATGTTGCATATAGATAATGTGATGTCTATGATGGTATTCACCTTCCCTCACATGTAGGGGGTCTTATTTCGAATAAATTATATTTTATTCGAAGTGAATTTCCTTCCATGTGTAGAGGGTGGGGCACCATTATGGATACATTGATGTATGAATATCACACGTAAATTCAGAATTTGTCCCTATTTTTTGACCCTATGTTCTTTTTATTGCAATACTATTGTAAAATGCATTTATTGAAAAAAATAAAAAAAAAAGGGCTCAACGGAATCAACAAATGCAATACGGTCTGGAACTTTTGAATTTTGG